CCTTTCTAATTGTCTACAAACCAACATCCTGCCATCGCTGGTCAGCCAGACCAGACGGCTGTGTCTGACCTTTGCCAAGGTTGGGGGACTGGAGTGTTTGGTGTTACCCTAGCTGCCGTCTGCCATCCTTTGAGCCCGTTGTTGTAGCACCAGCTTGCAGGATGGCACAGAAGCCCAGACTTAGGCCAGTGTCTTATTGGTGGGAGAGGTAATTAGAATCAGTGTGACTCCTCCAGGGTCACCTAGGGGCAAGGCTCTTTCCCTCTCATAATGGGGTGTCCTACACCACACCTACCATTCCAGAGAAGGTGAGATTACACTCATTGGCCACAACCTGACATCACTCCTCCCGCTCCCCCAGATTTCCCTGGGCTTCGTGAGCGCTCCACTGTCTGATAAGGAGGTGTGCTGATTGGGTTCCCAGCAATCATTCCACCGCCAAAAGAACAGTTGTCCCGGACCATCAAGTCCTTCAGTCAAGAAGTCTGTCTCAAGGTCCAAACAGAAGCTACGCTGTGTTTTATATGTTCATTCCTTCTCTGGGCATGTGTGAGCAGATGGAGCAGACACCTCCAGCCCGCACGTGGACAAGGTCTCTGAAGTCAGTGCCACTGGTCTAGCTGTTCACTCAGCTGTCGCCACGTGTTAACCCCACTGCAGTGACAGTCAGAGCATGTCCCATCATCCTCACAAAATGAGTGGCGGGAGCAGCCTCTAGGAAACAGGAGTTGGGAGGAGGGGGCACACTTCCAGATACAGCTGAATCCTGGCTCCTGGCAGCTGGTTGATCTGGACTCCCTCCTCCTCCTTCATGGGATGCTGGCTACTCTGACTTGTCTGAAAGCATCCAGAGAGGGTCAGGTATGGTTTTGCATTAGTTGCAATAACCAAAGAATGAAAGCATTGCCTGCTGTAAGGAAATAAGCATCTCACTGCATGGCTGATCCCCATGGTCCCACCCACCCCCGGGCCTCTAGTTTGGAATCAGGCAATGCCACATTAGCCTCCTGGGTAGAAGGCAGGACCACTCCACCTGCTCCATCCTCACCCCCTGCTGATGACCTCTGCATGCCTAGTGTCAGTGGCCTAGGTGTGGCAGTCAGAGGGGCAGCTTGCTTTTAAGAGTCACTGTCAAATAAACGGATGTAGGTTTTGAGAGCAACCCTGCCTTTCTGACCCCAGAAAGCTCACAGATCCTGCGAGGCCTAAGGAAAAGGGCCTGCTAGGGAACGCCTGCATGGCTTGAGACTTGGCCAGTTCGAGGCAGGTTCAGCACTGTTACTGAGCCCAGTGCATGTAAGGCCCATGCCAGGGGAACTGAGATGTGAGTCAGTTGGCATGCCCTTCCTTGGGGTTACTTGGCTGAGGGGGAATGTGGGTATAGCAAACAGCTTGACTGTGACATGAATCAGTGTGAAGGTGTCTGTCTAGATAGCAGAGTACCGTAAAAAGGAATTCGGATGCGCTAACGGGAGTAGAATGCTCATGTCTAGTGATGTACTCTTGAGCAGGCAGTTCCCTGATCCTCCTCAACCAAGGCCTGCAAGCAGGCCAAGGCCGAGCAGGGCAGCCACAGGCCAGCTACCGGGGGCTTTCCTGCGGCGCTCTCCAGAGGTCCTCAGAGGAAGTCTGCTCCAGGAGGAGAGTCAGGATCCTAGGGATCAGACCCAGGGTGTCACTCACACCAATGGGACACAGAGATGGCAGGAGAGGCCATGGGTCATGGAAGAAAACCACACCCAAGCACGGCAGGTCAATCGAGAGGAGTCTGGAGCCAGCCTGACCTTGTGGAACTGTTAGACTGCTCCCCAATACTCTCCTGGGCTAGCGGAAGGAGAGACTGCCTTCCATCCTGCATCTGCTGCCCTGTGTTACCCAATTCCCAACTCAGCACATTAAGCCTTTTGCTGCTGACACACGATGCTGCCAGCCACTCTTGCCTCCCCATGTTGGGTAGTGTGGCACTTGGTGCCACCTCAGCCTTCTGTCAGGAGGTGCTCTTCCCATGGCTTTGTATAGCACACCCAAGTCCCTACCGCCCCACAGATGTGTATCTGAGCTCCAAGCTCATTTCCACCTGGGACTTGGCCTTTTCCAGGGTCCCTGAAGGAGGAAACGCAGCATCAGTTCAATCCAGGGCCTCACCCCAGACCCTTGACTCTACTGCCTTGGCTCTGAGCAGTTTTCACGGCACCATGTATGCTCCAACCCCAGTGCCGGCAAGCCAAGCCTTCTCCACAATCCAACACAGTCACTGCAAGACCTCACCCCAACTTCAAGGTGTAGGGCCATGTGGTTACTCATTGTGTGCGGGTACACCCCAGCCTCTCCTGTACTTCCTCCTTCTGAGACGACCAGAAGGGGCCACAGGTCAGGTGGTAGCAATGTTGCTGCTGTTTACCGCGAGCTATGTCAGAGAAGAAGATGGGCTAGTGTTCAGAATGTCACCTCCAGTCTAAGGTTCCTGCCCCACAGTGAACCTCTGGCTCAGTTACACCAGCCAAGAAAGCATCTCAGTCTCTTCTCTATTAGATTTCTATTAATTAATAGATTCTCTATTAATCTTCTCAGTTAGATTTCATTCTGAAGAAAGCTGCTCGCGCTGGGAGACTGCCCAGTCCCTCCCTGCGGTCAGCTGGACCTCACAGTATGCAAGGTGGCCAGGCAGTGAAGAGCCACACATAACCCTGCTGGGGGACAGCCATTCCATAAGCCCCACCGGTGCCACCACATTGCCTAGTCCAACCCCTTTGCCTACTGTAGGTGGAGAAACGGTGGAGCAGAACAGCTCAGAGGGGCCTAGGGTGGGGGATGATGAGGGGGTGGAGGAAGGGCCCTTGCTCAACCTCTGGAGATCCTGCCTGGACGGACAGTAGGAGGGCAGGGAGAGGGGGCTTGGGAAAAAGTGATAACAAGAGAGAATGAAGGATCCTACCCTGGAAACTTCTAGAACCAGACAACTACTGATCAAGAAACATGCAGTTTGTGTTGTCTAGCAGCCCCCCCCCCCCACCGGCGCCCCCGTTTGGAGCCACATCCAAGCCTGAATCTGTTGGAAGAGTCGGGGAGGACAACAGACAGAGCCACTGAGCTGTAAGGCATGGGCTAAGGTGAATGCTTCAGGAAGGAAAACAAGACTCCTGGCGAGGAGACAGGAGGCAGAGATGCCCTTGGAAGTACATGAGCTGCAACAGGGCAGGCAGAAGTACCCTGTTGGTACTGGGCAGACGAGATACCAGGGTGCAAGGCGCACAGTTCAGCTTGTTCAAACCCCCCTTCTCCTTGTTTCCCAGTCTGCTCCTCTGCAAATGGGATAGGAGTGCCTGAAGGACCCTCAGAGGCCACCCAGAAGCTTCTGGTTTTATCTGGGGAAGAAATTGGCTACCAAGTAGCAGAACAAAAACCAGAATCTAGGCTCCTGCCCCCAACCTGTCACAGAGCCATGTCTCTGCAGTTTAATACACATGTATAGGAAAGCCATAATGAGATCAAATACTCTGCACAATTAACAAAAAAATTAAAAGAGGAAACTGTTAATTAGTTTCCTGTCAACTTGACATCAGCTAATCATTTGGGAAGACAGACTCTCAACTGAGAATATGCCTTTATAAGACTGGACTATAGGCAAGTATGTTGGGCATTTTCTTGATTAATGGTTGATGTGGGAGGGCCCGCCTACTCTGGGTGGTGCCTGGGCATATGATCCTGAGTTGTTATAAGAAAGTAGGCTGAGCAAGCCAAGGAAGATCATTTCTCTATGACTTCTGTTTTGGTTCCTACCTCCAGGTTCCTGCCCTGCTTGAGTTCCTGCCCTGACATCCCTCAGTGGTCTGCATCCAGAAGGGTAGAAGTAAAAACCCTTCCTGACCAAGTTACTTTTAGACATTATCACAGCAATAGAAACCGTAACTAAAGTGGAAACAATTACACAAATGCTATGAGAATGAACTATGAAGACAGTCGTCTCCCCTAAACCTGGGGCAGCAAAGACCTGGAGTTCTTTCTGGAATGATCCAGAACTGAGCTGAGGACACTAAGCATCTTTCTTTGGAATAGAATAGAGACGAGGGGGTGGGGATTTGCTTTGCTTTTTATCCCTGCAGCGCTGGGGTGGAGGCTAGTGCCTTGCCCATGCTAAGTAGGTGCTCATCCCAGTAATGGGTTAATTGTGACCACCACAAGGGACTAAGGTAGGACCACACCCAAGCCAGTGAGCAAGGCAATGTGTCCCTAAAGCAACTGTAGGATCAAGAGGTGGAATTTAAGGTGGGAAAAGCCAACTCTGTAGGGCTTAGCTGGGGAGAGTGATTTCTTCAGATCCTAACCACATGGTTTTTATCAGTGAGAGCAGCTGGAAAGGTGGCACACCCATATCACCAGGACAGCACCCCAGGAGCAGCTGCCTTCTTCTCCTGGCCATATAGCCCCTCAGGACTCCTGGGCATATAACAGGCCCTTAAAGTGCCAGGATGCCTGGGTGGGAGAACGCCCCCTACCCCAGAACATCTGTGGACGGGGGCATCCAGACCTCTGAACTCCTCCACACGCTCCACTCCCAGGTCTTCGTAGACCCAGAAAAGGGATTTCCAAAGCACCCAGTCAGCTTCAAAACCCCGAGTCCCAGTGCTAGTGGGTCCATCAATGTCAGCACCCAGACTCGTTTGCTCACTTGACGTCATACAATATTCCACAAAGGACACCACAGAGCATCCCACCACCCTCCTCTCAGTGGGCATCTAGGCTGCTGCCAGATGTAGCATTACATAAAAGCAAAAAACAGAAGAGCAGTCTTCAGAATCCACGTGAGGCTGGCGGGGCACTCCAAGGTGACAAAGGAATTAAGGAAGGCGTCCTAGAGGTCCTGTACCTTACTGGCTCTCACACTTCTGCGTGCTTCCCTGATCCCCATCATTTAGGAGTCACCCAAGGGCCAGCCCCAGAGTCCCAGAAAAGCAAGACACGTGACAGCTTCCAGATGGAGGACAGAGCTGGTTCCCTACCTGCTGTGGCGGGGCTCGCCCTCTGGAGAAGGAACAGCCACCATCCAGCTGCTCTCTGCAGTCAGAAGTCCACTGCAGGCAGAAAGGAGGGGTTAGTGACAGCAGGGCTCGTGCTCACCCTCACTCTGCCTCCCAGCAGGCTCATCAGGAAACCCGACCCATCCCTAGTCCAAGGTGGCCCCTGGGTATATGGCTGGGGAAGCCCTAAGTTCACCTAAAGTCAACCAAACATGACACCTAGTTATTTTGGACAACCAGTATCACCCCTGACCATCTGGGCAGGCTCCAGCCATGCTGGCTGTGTATCATGCTAAGGGACACGGTTGGAGCTGGAAGGCAGCAAGTGTGTGTAGCTCTATACACCTAGCTCCAAATGACTATGAGCTGTGGGACACTGGTCTGTACCCTGTCACTTGTATTTTAAATAAGCGCTAATTGGCCAGTAGCCAGGCAGGAAGTATAGGCGGGGCGATCAGGCAGGAAGTGGAGGCAGGGCAACGAGAATTCTGGGAAGAGGGAAGTTTCAGTCTGCAGTCCTCACCCAGACAGAGGAGAAGCCAGACACAGAGCAAGCAAGATATGGACTGCCTCACTGAAAAAGGTACCAAGCCATGTGGCTAACACAGACAAGAATTATGGGTGGATGTAAGTTATAAGAATTAATTAATAAAAAGCCTGAGCTACTGGGCCAATCAGTTTATAATTAATATAGACCTCTGTGTGATTTCTTTGGGACTTAACGACTGCAGGAACCAGGCAGGACAGAAACCTCAGCCAACAACTATTATCTGGTATCATGGAGAACCTGCAGACATGTCTCAGAAGACTAGCAGAGGAATGTCCCAACGTGTGGCCGACTACCACCTACACAGGAGTCCCCAAAGTTAACCATATGGAGGACCCTGGGCTTCACTCTCTATTGGTGACCCAGAGACTCTGGGGCTACGGCCCAGGATTAGCATTTTGACCAACTCCCACGAGCTGCACTGGAAGCTTCTGGAATCCATGGGCTCTCTCCCATGCTGTTACCCATTTAATGACCAGGACAATGCTGGGCAACTCTGTGAAGCTGGCCATTGCACAGATACACCAAAGCAGGATGGCAGCCCTCTGCCAAGTGCGGGCCAGCTTCGAGGTAGTGTTAGACTTTAGTCAACCTCTCTGGTTTGGCCTCACACGCACCTTAGCCTACTCCTAGTGGCTTGCACAGCAAAAAGAGTATGTCCCCAGCCAGAGCTGGGTAGGGAGGGCTCCAGGCCAGTGCAGGCACACTGTGGCTGAGGACAGTATGCCCAGGGCAGGAAAGACCTTTCACTGTGACACTGATGCTAGAGCCAAGTTCAAGTAAACTCCAAGGACATGGAATGAAAGGCACAAAGATAAAGCCACAGCCTCAACTGTAGTTCCCACGCCAGCTTTTTTAAAATTAAGTTAAGCAATATGTCTGACATATTCAAAATATTATTACTTATTGATAATAAAAATATAAGACAGGGCCCATGATTGTAATACCCCTGAGAGAAGCTGAGGCAGGAGGATCCTGAGTTTGAGCTTCAAAGAAAAACAAACAAAACAAACATTAATTAGCCTTTTGACATCTGTGCTGGCTAGTTTTGTCAACTCAATACAAATCTAAACATAGGGTGAAGAACATGCATGAATTCTTTATACTATTATCAGTATTTTGTATTTTAAAAATTATTTCAAAATTTTATATATATGTATATATATATATATATATGTTTTTAAGTATGTATACACACACACACACACACACAAGGTCACCTGACTCAAGGATTCTTAAGCTAGAGGAATCAGTACTACACACAGGGTTTTATGTGCTGGGACCCTCCACTGTCTCTCAAAATGACAGAGTTTTCTCCAGGCCTTTAAGGAGACCCTGATACCCACCCAGCTCACTGGTCACACCTCTCCTGTGCTCTGTACCTGCCAGACTGACCTCTGCTCTGTGCCTCAATGTGGTCTATATCCCCACCCAAGAACTCTGATTTGGTCATTACCTCTGCATGGAGTACCTGTTCCTAAGCAACCTTGGTCTCCCACGGCCTCCTTCCAACAGCTCTGGCCTCCACCCCTTCTTGCCTCATGACCAATGCCTGCCTCCTATCACCCTACCCCATCCTACCTACCAGAAAGCAAGCTCTGGCAAAGCAGGGATCATGGCTGTTTCTGAGCATCGCTTTGTTTCAGAACCTACAACCATGCCTGAACGAATACATGCTAGCTTGAGTCATACTGTACTCCTGGGCCACCAGTAGGCAGCAGAAAAAAGAACAGATGTAAACAACTACACTTTATCCTAAAAAGCCCCCACCTGACAAAGTGTGGGAGATCATGGTAAATAAATGACAAAGCTAAAATTGATGTATATTAGCAGAGCAGCTTCGTAAAAGGTAAACACAAAAAAGTTCACAATTATTATCAGTCCTTGTCACAAAATGATAGTGGATTATTTTTTTCCTGGTTTCCCAGTGGTCTTTGTTTTTCTAATTGTTGCTTTAAAACCAAAACGAATTTTAACATATTGGGGGAAATGGCTAGTAAGTGAGTTAAAAAGTATTCAGCCTCACTAGAAGATGGACCGTGCAAAATCAAACGGTGGGATGTCCCAACACACTGGTGCAGTAGGAAGGATGGAAGAGTCACTTGGAGAGCAGCTTGCCAAGAGTCACTAAAATTAATTCTACTTCCCAGCATTTACCCAAAGAAATTCTTTTATTTGTACGGAAGGAAGCAAACTAGCCACTGCATTTCCAGGGGAACACTGACAGGTGGAGTGGGTTCCTACCATTAAATGAAGGGTTAAACAGGGGCTCACTGTGAACCACTGGACAGTCACGTAACAGCACAGTGGATGCCTGCGCCTGGAAGAATCCTGAGGTACATGGGTTGGGGGAAATGTGAACGTTGTATGACTTTGAAATAGTATTATTTCTATAGGTGGGTTTATCAGAAGACATCTAAATGGGTAAGGAAGTTAACTCAACAGAGACACAGTTGTGGAAGGGTTGTATCAAATGGAATATTTATTAATTTTTTGTTTGTTTGTTTGTTTTTCAAGACTAGAGTTTCTCTATATAACCCTGGCTGTGCTGGAACTAGCTCTGCAGACCAGGCTAGCCTCATACTCACAGGTCTGCCTGTCCCTGCCTCCCCAGCGCTGGGATTAAAGGTGTGCGCCATCACTATCTGATGGATATTTGACTCTTCTGTGACATGCATATGTAGTTAGGGAATACTCATGAAATTAAAAGAAATAAAATAAGAAGAGGCACGCAATGAATTTCCCATGCTCAGTCACTCATGGGTCTATTAACCCACCTCTGTTGAGCCTTTCATGGCTGACCCACCATTGAGCCAAGACAACTGAGAAAATGGATCCCAAAGTAGAAAAACAATACAGAAGTGGGATAGCAAGGGAATGCAGGGATGGAGGGCAGGTGGATAGAGACGCGGAATGGCAGGAGGAACGTGGAGAGACAGGAGGGAGAGACACGTGAGGAGCCAGGAAGCCGATGGATGCTCTCATCCCCTCCTACGTATTAGCACTGCCAAGCTTCTTCATTAGAGTCCTTGGAATTCAGACAGAATCCAGGCCGTTCGCCTGCCTCCTAGCATCAAAAGGGACTGCAGGAAGCTGCCTACAGGCTCTGCAGCTCGTAATTGAACCCGTTTGAAAGAGTGGATCAGAAACTTGTGCCTTCATTAAATGTGCCAGCCATTGGCCACATCCATACACTCTGCCCTCCCAAGAGATCCCACTCGGAGGCAGCTGGCCTCGGAGAAGGGAGAAAGCTGTGTCCCACCTGAGGTGTTAACCCTACTAGGATATCAGAGTCACCAGGGGCCTACACATAGGCTAATACTCAGATTCTTCCTCATTCAGCTGCATCTCTGGTGTAGGGCCCAGTTAACCAACGTTTTCTAATGTCTTTACGATCCTGTTTGGCTGGCTGTAAATGCACACCTACCAACACCAAAGGTGCCAAGCATTTCCCACCATAGCATCCCCTTACAAAGGGTCAATAGCCAATAAGACTGAGTCCTAATTCTCTTCTATACATTAACCACCTGACACTATTCATCCTAGCTGGGAACAAGAAGAAAGTGGGAGAGGGGTGGGCCTCTTAGGACCAGGAAGGTTGCTTTGACTACTTTCTAAGTCTGTGTCTCCATTTCCCACATGCAGAACAAAGCTAAGTCCTTCTCCTAAGGATGAAGTGAGGACAACTTATTTAATTAAAAAGATGATCTTATGTCCATGGATATTTTGTCTGCATGATTATCTTTGCATGCGTGCATGAATGGTGCTTGCAGAAGCTGGAAGAGGGCATTGGATCCCTTGGAACTGGAGATACAGATGTTTGTGAGTTGCCAAGTGGGTGCTGGGGATTGAGCCTGGGTCCTCTGGGAGAGTAGCCAGTGCTCTTAATCTCTGAGCCATCTTTCCAGCTCCAAGGAAATGTAAGATGTAACTTTGGTGACTTAAAATTCATTAGCGAACAGGAAGTCTTTTTAAAAAGACTTTTATTTTTTAAAGTTTATGTGTGTAATATGTTTGCCTCCACGTGTGGATGCCACATTTGTGTGAGAGAAAAGGTCATTAACGTTGGCAAAAGAGTGCGATCTTAAATGTGGTATTAGGGAAGAGTTGGGACACTTCAAACATCCACAGCTACTCATTTGTTTTCATTACATTTCCTGTTGTAGTGAGAAGACATTTGGACAGCATCTCACAGGAGAGGGTCTGTCCGGGTTTATAGCTCAAGAGTACTGTCTGTCACTGTGGGGAGTCAGGGGACAAGAGCTGGAAGCAGCTGGTCCTATCACATTGGAGAACACAGCAGTGAACTTGTACTGATGCTGGGTTCACTCTGTCAACTTTGTTCAGTTCAGGATCCCTTGTCCAGGGAATGGTCCTACCCACAGTCAAGATCTCTTGCCTGTATCATTCGATGTAATCAAAGATAATCATAGGCATGCCTTGAGGTCCATCTCCCAGGTGATCCTAGACTATAGATCTAAGAGAGGGAAGCTATCCATCCATCTAT